CTCCTTTTTGCTTCTATATAAATTTTATTTTATTTTTTTCTAATTGTGTGAAGAATGCTAATGGTAGTTTCATGGAAATAGGAGTGAATCTATAGATTGCTTTGGGCAGTATGGCCATTTTCACAATATTGATTCTACCTATCCGTGAATATGGAATGTTTTTTCATTTATTTGTAACATCGCTGATTTCTTTGAGCAGTGGTTTTTAGTTCTCCTTGAATAGGTCCTTCACTTCTCTTGTTAGCTGTATTGCTAGGTATTTTATTCTTTTTGTGGTAACTGTGAATGAGAGTTTATTTGTGATTTGTTTTAGTCTTGACTGTTGTTGGTGCATAGGAATGCTAGTGATATTCTCATATTGATGTTGTATCCTGAGGCTTTGCTGAAGTTGCTTATCAGCTTAAGAAGCTTTTAGGCTGAGATGAGGAAGTTTTCCAGATACAGGGTTATATCAACTACAAACAAAGAAAATTTGATTTCCTCTCTTCCTATTTGAATATCCTTTATTTTTTTCTCTTGCCTGACTGCCCTGGCCAAAAGCTTCATAAGTGAAGGAGAAATAAGATCTTTTCAGACAAATAAATGCTGAGGGAATTCATTACACAAGACTTGGCTTACAAGAACTCCTGAAGGAAGTGCTATATATTGAAAGGAAAAAATTGTTATCAGCTTAAAAAAAAACACTGAAGTACACAGACCAGTGACAGTATGAAACAACCATATAAACAATTGTGCAAAATAACTGGTTAGCATCGTGATGACTGGATCAAATCCACTCATAACAATACTAACTTTAAATGTAAATAGGCTAAATTTCCCAATAAAAAAACACAGAGTGGCAAGCTGGATAAAGACTGAAGACCCATTGGTATGCTGTTTTCAAAAGACCCACCTCATGTGCAAAGACACTCATAGGCCCATAAGGGATGAAGCAAAATTTACCAAGCAAATTGAAAACAGAAAAAGGAGAGGTAACAAACATAGTTTCTGACAAAACAGACTTTAAACCAACAAAGATTGAAAAAGACAAAAAAGAGCATTACATAATGATAAAGGGTTCAACAAGAATTAGCTGCCCTGAATATATATGGTCCCAATACAGGAGCACCCAGATTCATAGAGCAAGTTTTTAGAGACCATCAGAGACACTTTGACTCCCAAACAATAATAGTGGGAGATTTTAAAATCTCACTGACGATACGAGACAGATCATCAAGACAGAAAATTAATACAGACATTTAGGACCTTAACTCAGCTCTGGCTGTAGAAGACCTGATAGATATCTACAGAACTCTCCAACCCAAAACAACAGAATAACATTCTTCTCATTGCCACATGACACTTACTCTAAAATTGATCAAATAATCAGAAGTAAAGCACTCCTAAGAAAATGCAAAGGAACTGAAATTATAACAGTCTCACAGACCACAATGCAATCAAATGTGAACTCAAGATTGGGAAATTCACTCAAAATCACACAACGGCATGGAATTTGCACAACCTGTTCCTGAATGGTTTTTGAGTAATAATTAAATTAAGCCGTAAGTCAAAGAGTTATTTTAGATTAATGAGAACAAGGATGCAATGTACCAGAATCTCTGGGATGCATATAAAGCAGTGTTAAGAGGGAATTTTTTTTTTTTTTTTTCCAGACAGAGTTTCACTCTTGTTACCCAGGCTGGAGTGCAATGGCGCGATCTCGGCTCACCGCAACCTCCGCCTCCCGGGTTCAGGCAATTCTCGTGCCTCAGCCTCCTGAGTAGCTGAGATTACAGGCACGTGCCACCATGCCCAGATAACTTTTTGTATTTTTAGTAGAGACGGGGTTTCACTATGTTGACCGAGATGGTCTCGATCTCTTGACCTCGTGATCCACCCGCCTTGGCCTCCCAAAGTGCTGGGATTACAGGCTTGAGCCACCGCGCATACTCTAGTTTCTCTTCAGATCATATAAATCTTTCGCCTTTTACGAAAGAGGGAAATTTATAGCATCAAATGCCCATATCAAAAACCTAGAAAGATCTCAAGTTAACAACCCAACATCATAACTAAAATAATTAGAGAACCAAGAGCAAACAAACTGCAACGCTAGCAGAAGATAAGAAATAACCAAGCTCAGAGCTGAACTGAAGGAGATAGAGGCACCAGAAAAACCCCTCAAAAATCAACAAATCCAAGAGCTGTTTTTTTTTTTGAAAAAAAATTAATAAAATAGATAGATTGTTAGCTTGACTAATAAGGAAGAAAAGAGAGAAGATTCAAGTAAGCACACTCAGAAATGATGGGGATATTGCCCCTGACGCCACAGAAATACAAACATCAGAGAATATTATAAACACCTCTATGCACATAAACTAGAAGATCTAAAGGAAGTGGATGAATTCATAGATATATACACCCTCCCAAGACTGAATCAGAAAGAAATTGAATCCCTGGATATACTGATAATGAGTTCTAAAATTGAGGCAGTAATAAATAGCCTATCAATCATAAAAGCTCTGGATCAGAAAGATTCACAACTGAATTCTCCCAGAGCTAAAAGGACAGCTGGTAACATTCCTACTGAAAGGATTAAAAAAAAATAAAATAAAATAAAGAAAGGGACTCCTCCCTAACTCACTCTATAAGACAAGCATCGTTCTGATACCAAAATCTGGCAGAGACACAACAAGAATAACAACAACAACAATAACAACAAAACACTTCAGGCCAATATCCTTGATAAATATCCATGTGAAAATCCTCAACAAAATACTGGCAAACCAAATCCAGCAGCACATCAAAAGCTTATCCACCCTGATCAAGTAGGCTTTATCCCTTGGATACAAGTTTTGTTCAACATATGCAAATCAATAAATGTGATTCATCACATAAACAGAACCAAAGACAAAAAACCACATGATTATCTCAATAGATGCAGAAAAGGCTTTTGATACATTTCAAAATTACTTCATGTTAAAAACTCTCAATAAACTAGGTATGGAAGGAATATACCTCAAAATAATAAAAGTCAAATATGAAAAACCCAGAGTCAATATCTTACTGGATGGGCAAAAGCTGAAAGCATTCTTCTTGAAAACTGGCACAAGCCGAACTTGTCCTTCCTTACCACTTCTGTTGCTGCTGCTATTATTTTGATGATATTGGTGACAATGGTAAACTGAAACCTGCTTATGAAAACTTCTCAGTCAATCCTGTACTTCCTTTAGCCAAATCCAGTTAAAGTTAATAATCCAAAATTGTTTTAAATCTCTAGAACAGTTCACTTTTTTGATGACTAGCTACCTCCTGAACAGCATCCCTTGGGAATATTTAATGGCAACATTCTCTCCTATTATTTAAAGATTTCCTCCAAGACTATATTTCCTTTGTTTTTCTGCTTGTTTTCTAAAGGAAGTGTTCCCTAGTTTTAAGGATTAATCTTGATAGAAAGAATTAATCCAGTTTATCTGAATTCTTTTAAGTAAAGAAGTCACCTGTAAAATGAAAAGCAGGCAATCTTCTCACATTTGTAAACATTTCCTCATCCATTAATTATTCTAATATATATTGAATGCCAACTCTGTGTCAGAAAAAATGCTAGATGCTGGGAATACAGTAATGAGTTAACACACAGCCTTGGCATCTGTTGCTTAATTCAGCAATCATAAATCTTGACATCAAACTAGATGTAGTCACTTCTTCTTACATCTCTTTAATTAATGACTTTCCATTTGACAAAATTTAACAAGGCCTTGTGTGCTCTTGTACCCACTGACTACATTCCTCATTTTCTCTACTCTGGATTCAGTCATACTATTTTGATCCCTTAAATGTGCCATGTTTCACTAATCTCAGGCACTTGATACATTTTCTGTCTTCCTGAGTAGCCATCCTTACATTCTATACTGCAAACCACTCCTAAGCTTCTTTCAATTCTCTATTTAGCTATTGCTGAATACTGGAAAATATTAAATATTCTGGATTTTTTCCCTGTAGCACTATATAATTATTCTTCATAGGAAAGATATTGATCTAGGAATGTATGTGATATTTGATTAATGTCTGTCCACATCCATAGATTAGAATCTGTGTGTATGTAGGGGCTAAGTCTGACTTTGCTTCCAGACTTATCCCTTTTATTCTTTGCATAGCTCATATGGAATATAGCCATTGACACATTGAAGGAATTCAAAATATATATGTTTGTTAAATAAAGATATACAAATTGTCTATTTTCATTATTACCTTAACCTAGGTTTGACAATCTGAGAAAAAAATTTACAATGAAAAAATAGTTTTAGGTGAAGACATTGATATTTTAATATGTAAGTGGTGATGATTGTTCTTTAAGTGTTTAAAACCAAGTTATTCCTTAGAACTTCCCTCTGGTATTATTCAATAGACAAGTTAACATTCGATTTTAAGTCAACATAAACTTGTAATTACTAGAAGAAAAATTAATGAGATTTCATACAATCCTAATAGAAAAGTTCATGTATACAAGTAGGTAATTAGACAGATGGATAGACAGATTGATAGATTAGATAGATGGATGGATGGATAGATGCCAGATGGATAGATAGATAAACACTCACTTCAAGACCTACGATAGCACATTAGAATAAAATATCTCAGACTGTGGCTCTAACAGAATCACTATAGATTTATTATGATGATATTTTTATTCTTTGCACTTCATTGAAATTACTTTTACTTAATTCTTGACTGTTTACATTGGGACATTTCAGGAAGAATAGAGCAGAAACAAAACAAAGATAGAGGGACACACTGTTGGTGTAGTTACATCAGACCTTTCCCATCTTAGCAAAATATATTTCCTGAAGAAAAGATCTAAGCAGTCAGATAAAACAATAATTAAAATGTAATTATATTGCAAAGTGACAATATTTCATCAAAATCCATGGCCTGACAGCATGGATTATTCATATCTTTGACAAATTTCCATTTAGGAAAAGGTAAATGAATTGCCCGAATCACAAAATGTACATTCTTTTTACCTTCTTTAAAGAAAGGATTCCTTCTCTGGTCTCTTTGTCAGTGGAGATGGAGAATACCCCCATTCCATCACCGTTTATGATGGAGTATGTCATGTCAGCATTGGAGCCAGTGTCTGCATCGTTTGCCTTGATTTTCCCAACAGCTGAACCAACTTGAGCTGACTCAGGAACATAGAGCTGATAGTGTTCTGGAAGACATTTCATATTAAAAGTATTTAAATACAATGTTCATAAAATAATCTTACAAGAAAAAGACAATAAATATTTAGAGCTCGTATTCAAATGAACATTATATTAGGTAATGCATTGAATGGATTTTTTTGTAAGATTTTAGAAGTTTACTATTTAGTAAGGAAATACTAGACTTACGCAAACTTCAAAAGGTGTGTAAAATGCTTTTCATGAAAAGACTATATATTTGAGTATGAAATATTAGCTCTAAACCCTTAAAGTACAGACAATTAGAGAAGTCAAGTTTTCATTCTTATATTGAACCAAAACTGAATTAGTCAAGTATCAGTGTAATCCCCATTGTAGCATGTGAAGTTCAAATATAAAAGTGTGAAAATGAAAAGTGTGGAAATGTGTAATTCAACAGAAAAACAAGAGAAAATGCTGTAGCCTATTTGTTAACACAATTATTTTTATCACTGATCAGTATATTGAGATACACAGTCATATCAGAGAAAGTGAATGTATGTTTATATTTCTTTACCATAAATTCCCTATCAGCTTCTGAAAAGGATTTGAGGTGGCTTCAAAATAACATTATAAATAACATAAAGTTACTAACATTTTTAAAACTCAATTACAGGTTGAAGTATAAGAAGGCAGACGGCTACAGAAAATAAAACAGCATTTGTGAATTAGCATTAATTTTGACACTGTACCAACAATGTTAAAGCATTGTTAATATTATATTCTCAATTGTCTAATATGTACAAATATCACTTTTCCAAAGTTTTCCCTGATATTAAGTGTCAAATGAAACTGTCTCTATAGTGCTTACAAAATAAATATTAAGAAGCATAAGAAAACATGTTTTAAATAACTGTTTTATTGACAAGTTTAAAAAATCTTATTAAAGCAATTTATTATAGAAAGTTCAAGGCATTATAAATGACAGAAGCCCAGGAATACTGAATTAAAATGTAATTTGATAAAATAATTTCTACCAAGATTAAATTAATAGTGACTCAATACTATACAAGGATATAGTTAGACTATACACCTAATGAATGCACAACCTCTACCAAAATAATTTTAGTGAGCCAATCATTTGTCATTAGCGGTATGTACTGAAAACAAAAGTCTAATGTAGTGAACATTGAAAATATCATTTTTTATTCTTATTGCAGTAAGAACACTTAACATGATACCTCTCCTATAAACAAATGTCTACACAACACAGCATTGCTACTCACAGATACAATGTTTTTCAGCAGATCTATAGGACTTACTCATTTTGCATAACAACAATTTTATATTTGTTGATTATCAACTCCTCATTCTCCTTCCCTAGTCCCTGATAACAACCACTCAAATCTTTGACTCATGGCCCAGAAAACTTTTCGGCTGATTCTTAAAATAGGAAACAGATTTCTGATACAGATAGATGATGTTTGTAGAAAAAAAAAAAACACGGTAATTATTGACACATTTTAACAACTGGAAGAATAATAACTTCCCCATTCACTATGTTCCATTAAACAAAATAGAGTACATTAAGATTAATATTTTATGCACTCTCCATTGAGTTGAGAATTATAATTTGTAAATTATGAGTCAACTTTTAGTAGACAGCGTGCAAAACGACCCATTTTATCCATGCCTTCTGCTGTTTATATCCTTGAGTTATTTCCTCTTGAATGCTGGCTAGATACAGCAGTTCACTTATGATAAAGTAGGTTCAGCAAAAGTAATCAGATGTCTCTTACACGGCTAGGTTACAAAAAGACTGTGACTTCTTTCACGGGAACACTTTCTCATTGCCTCTTGTATTACTCACTTAGGGTCAGGCTGTCTGTCACGTTTTGTTGCAGTCCTAGGAAGTAGCCCATCGGGCAAATGACTGATGCGGGCCAAAAGCCAAGTGAGCAAGCTGGAAGCAGAAACCAGCTCCACCTCCAACAACGTAAGCCTCTGGGCAAGGCCTCAGCCCCTGCTGACTTCTACACTGCAATCTCGTCAGCATGAACCAAAGGCACTCATAGAAACCATAGCTAGACTCCTGACCTACAGAAATTGTGAAATGATAAATGCCAGCTGTTTTAATCTGCCAAATTGGAATATTTTGCAACACAGCCATAGATAAACTATACACACCTCTTCAGTAGTTGCCAGTGATTTGCTAATTCGAATGGATTCTTTTTTGTTCTTGTCATCCTGGGGTACTATGATTTATGTTGAGAGAAATTAAAAACCAAAATAATTGAACAAAATCTGATTCATTATACCGTTATTGCTGATTATTTCTCTCCCTATGACTTTATACTTTGATATATTTCTAACAGAAAAAAAAATAAAAAATAAAAAAAAATAATGAAACACACATGTATGCCATCAAATCTTAATTATTTTTGTATTTGATTCAGGTCTCATTTTATAATGTAATATATTATTGAAGGCACAGTTGATACTTCTAAGTGGGCTGTTTGCTATAATCAAATTCTCTGCTCATCCTCCAAGAACCATTATCATTCCCCTACATATCTTAAAAATATTAATGTAACATATTTTCAGAAATATATATTTAGATAGTATAGTTATTTAGATTTAAGTTTATATTTCTCATTCTCTTGTATTTTTTACTCAAAATCATAATTTTGAGATATATCTAAGATGCTGCATATAGTTCTAGTTCATTAACTACAATGTAGTATTTAATAATATGCTACAAGTTATCCAACTGTATGTTTTTCTAATTTAGAAACATTCAAATGAATTTTAGTTTACATATCTCCTTATGCACATGCAGAATTTACGTAAGCTACAGTTATAAAAAGGCTCTTCCTGGAGCTTTAGAACACAGCCCTTCCCTGGTCGAATCACCACTTTTTTAACATCTCAGTTCCACTACAGATTTATTTTTCACTTTTTTCTTAAAAGACAGTATTGTCCATAACTTAGTACCTCATTTCTGTTTCTTATATACACACTCTGGAAAGGAATATTTGTCCCTGCTGTTTCACTGTCAACATATAAATCTATGGCTCTCAAATGAATATTCACATCTGCCATATCCTGAGTTTCTGCTAAAATGTTCAATTATGGTCATCTCCAACTTTATGCTGGGCATCTACTATCTTATGTCTTTTCTTAAGAAAAGTAATTTGAAATTTGAAACGATTTGGAAAATTTAAAATGTAGGCCAATAAAAGAAGAATCAATTGTTTAAAGTTTACAATAAAATAAGGGCATAGGAAACTTGAATGAATCAAATATGAAGATTAAAATTCTGATAACACCCCATTTGTTGATATAAACTCTATTGAAAACAAATAAAAAGAAGAAAAAAATTGATAATTATATTTTTCAAATATCAATTTGACATCAATATTAAATTCTCTCCTCACTTCTCTAAAACCGTTTATGTCTATGAAACTTACAACTGATAAATAATTATGTTTAGTAAAAATTACTCAAGTTGACTGTAGTAAATAACATCTCATAATGAAGAGGTGTTATTTCTAGTAAACTCCAGCTATATAAGAAAATAGAAATAGTAATGGTAATATAACCTTTAGAATTTGGTTATCCAACATCACAGAGTTACTGAACTTTGCAAATAAAATACCAAATTTGTATTTAAAACAAAGGGTTATTTATAACTATACACTAATATATGACTATTAATGAAAACTTGGAAAAAAACAAAACAGAAAAAAGGCAATTTGTTGTTTTATCACCAAAAGGATTTTATTTAAAAATTATATGACTAAACTGATAATGCTTATTGCTCTGTGATTGTAGTAATAGCATAGTTAGTATTCTGCAATAAAAGATAATAACTTTAAACTTTCAGATATAATTTCCATATATGTGTGGATGTATATAAATATATGTATGTATATACATATACATACATGTACATGAAATAATATATATTTATATAATACATATTTGTATATAATATATAGTATATAATATATAGTATATATAAAATATAATATATAATAACTTATATATTCTATAGTATATATCATATATTTATATATATATTATATATATGATATATATTATATTTAGAATATATGATATATACTATAATATATACTATATATAATTATTATATAGTATATATTAATATATACTAATATATATTATATATAGTATATAAATAATATATACATATGTATTTATATGTGCGTATATAAATACATATAACATACATAAATATATAATAGATATATTAGATTATGTATATATAATACACACAAAGATATATAATAGGCATATAATAGATATATGTATGTATATACATATAAAAACATACATATATTAATGCATACATATATTAATATATGCATACATTGTATATATTGTGTATGTAATGCATATATATTTATGTATATATGTATGTATTTATATGTATGTATATAAGTAAATATTTATATATATTTATACCTAAATACATAAAAATATATATTTATATACATAAATATATATATATCAATTACATATCTGTGTATATACATTTATGTATATAAATATATGTATGTAATATAAAATTACATATGTATATAATTATATATAAATATATGTATATAATATAAATGTATGTATATTAATACATTTACATAAATATATATACACATACAAAGATATATAATAGATACAACATATTCATACTTGTCTTAAAATTATATAAAGATACGGATCATTAACCTAGTTGACATCATGAAGTAATTGAATTATGAATATGAATTATATGTCTTTTTTCTAAAAATTTAAGCCATTTAACATATATTTTCAAAATGCAAGAATTATTTTTTAAGTATTTACTAAGTAAAACATATTTTGCTGCTTTACATGATGTTCTGCTTTTATGAATATAAAGATATTCATATTTCTTTATTATGCTGATCTGGTACACTCACAGTATATATTTTGGTCATCATGTACACAAGTGAGAAAAGAACATCCCCAGTTATTATTTTAATAGTCATCAGGTATGTAAGGATATTTA